GAGAAGAGCGTGTACACTCTTCGAAAAGAGTATTATACTGACTTGGGTAGATAGTAGATATTCCAAATCGTCGAGCATTTGTTTTCGTTTGATGAACCACTTTCGTTTCTTACCCTTCGGTCTTCTGCGCTTTCTCTTTTTGCGTTTCTTTGGTGGCTCTTAATATGCTCGCAGTAAATTAAATTCTTCTATCTCGCGTTGCATAGATAGATACATCGGCACAGCTTTAAACCAATTTTTTGTATTGGTCGTGAGATCATGCAGGTCGATTCCCGGGAACACATTCAGCTCCGATAAAGTTTATTTGGGTCACTAGCTGGCATTTTGATGACCTTTTTCCATGAAAAAAAGAAGAAAATCTTTAATTCATTTTTTCCGATGAAATTCCAAAAAAATTGATTAAAATCAAAGTATCATTATTTGCTGCTGCTCAGCATATGACTGAGAGCTGAGTAATGCTGAACTCGTACGGCTAACGCATACGAAACGGTTGCTCGATACATATTCCCCTTTCGCTTCGTATGTGCTGCCGTTGACGCTATAGCCGCTGCTGTTTCACTTACTCGTAAAATACAACGGGATCAACGGTAACACACTATACCAGCGAACATACGAAGTGAAAGCAAGAGATGAGATGCGATGTGCTGTTTTTGCTCTCAGTCTCTCATATATTCATCAAGACCTTCCACAATTGCCTTGAATTCTGGATCGATTGGTGGCACTTCTTTTGCTGGTCCACAGGGTTTCCATTTAGTCTTTGATGGTTGCTCTGGCTCCGGCTTTGGTGTTTTTTTCGGCTTGGGCTTCGGTGGTAAATTTATTTACAATTGTTGGATCCAAAACATCCATTATCGAGCATACGATGACGGTCGAACGCGTGGTCGCTTTTGTATGTAGTTTCAGTCGAATTCAACGTCGCAATGGAATGAAAAAAGAGAAGAAAATAAATCAGTTAGAATGAAAGCGAAAATAAAATTATCTATGAATTGAAATCAATATATTAATTAAAATGTTATCCATAGTTGATTTTGGTGTAAATAAAATGTCAAATGGAATACAGTAAATATTGATGACAATGCAACTTCGCTAAGTTGAATTAGGTAAAAATTATTACGTATTTCGATGCTGAATTCAGCTAACAATAATTACATTTGTTGGATTGTCACCATTGTTGATGCCTTCGTTCATATGCCTTTTGGACCTCTAATAAGAACAGCAACGAATCCAAATTGCAAATCATTGTAGCCTGTAGACTTAGATCAGTTATTTTGTTGATCAGTTCCTGCTGGTATGGCGGCCAAATTATTGATTTCAGTGCACATTTGATCGTCGTTATCTCATCTTTCTTGTATGTGTGTCCGAAAGTAAAAAGAAACACGCTCCAAACTAATGCACATTACAAAATCGATTCGTAGAATGTCATATTGCATTCAGGCTACAAACAAAAAAAATCTACAATTAACATGTGTGCGAGCATGGAACCAACACAAACTTTTCAACAAAATATAAATGTGTGATCTTTTTCGGTGTTGTACAGAAAACAGTTTTGACACAAATCTGCTACGACCAAAAACATCGATTGTTTGATGCTGTGTGAATCGTATACGTTGTTTCTTAAAGCAATGTAAGTGTTTATAAAATGCCGAATAGGCACTGTATGTTGAAATGCGAGAGTAAAATATTGGGACATAAACAAATAACGAAACCAATTCGTAGAATGTTTCTTTCACGATACACATAAAATCGGTTACATTGCTTTTAAGTCTTAGCGTATATCCACAATCAATGTAATGTATTCAGATTAATTTACAATGTGTCCATTTTCTCTTTTTTTCTCCATTTTGTTTTGTTATTCAATCAACACTGGAAATCTATATGTTTCAAGAAGCAAAATATCGAATGAAATCAATTCTATAATGCGTATTATTTAATATGTCTCAAATGATCATTTCGCTTGAGGAAGTGCCAACTGTTATGAAAGTACTTTTCATAGTTCGAATTTTCTGCTCTTTCAATTGAGATCTACCATTTTTTGTTTATAAATATGAGAAACACCCAATATACATTTTCTTATTTTTCATATTTTTCAGTATTGTCCATATGGCCCATTAACTAATATTCTTAAAGATGAGAAAGTGGTTCAACCGGTACGAATTGTTTCATGGGCCAAGCAAATTGCGCTTGGTATGCAGTACTTACATTCCCATAAAATCATACACCGAGATCTGAAAAGTCCTAAGTATATAGACCCTTTGCTCCTATAACTTTAATCCTTGACTAATTAATTTTTTCCCATCAGTATTTTGATTGGAACTAATGAGATCGTTAAAATCAGTGATTTTGGTACAAGCCGTGAATGGAATGAAAAAAGTACAAAAATGAGCTTTGCTGGAACAGTATCCTGGTATGATTTTTTTTCTACTTTCAATTTTTTCCATACTAACATATGATTTACGTTAAAGGATGGCACCCGAAGTGATACGAAATGAACCATGTTCAGAAAAAGTTGATATATGGTCCTATGGTAAGTATAGTAAGTCGAATTAGGAGTTGTATTAAAGTAATAACTTGAGTTGTATAACTTATAGGAGTTGTATTGTGGGAAATGCTTACATGTGAAATTCCATATAAAGATGTTGATTCTTCTGCTATTATATGGGGTGTTGGTAATAATTCATTGCATTTACCAATTCCATCTACATGTCCCGAAGGCTTCAAATTGATTGTAAAACTTTGCTGGAGTGTGAAGCCTCGAAATCGTCCCTCGTTCAAAATTTTATTAAATCACTTGGAAATAGCTGGACCTGAGCTACTGAAGCAATCTGACGCAGTATATTTTGAAACACAAAAATCATGGAAAGAAGAAGTTCGATCTCATATGATGCGAATTACTCAAAATGGTACTAATATTCATAAATTTGAGCAAGATTTGATACGAAAACGTACCGCAGAATGGAAACACGCGCAGGACATACGGCTAATTTATCAGGAAAAATTGGAAAAAACTAATAAACTGTTCGCTGAATTAACTGACCTAATGCTTTATTTACAAGAGCGGGAACGTGAAATTGTAAAGTAAGACCATATATTTCGTGATAAAAACTATATTCCAAAATATAATAAAAGCCGTTCTAATGTTTTTTCCACGTGCATACCATTATATTATTATACACATTATGAAAACATATTTAATTTTTTTGTAGGCGTGAACGCAAATATTTCCCTGTCCATAACAAAATGTCAAAAAGAACGACAAATACCTTTCGAAGGATATACAAACAAAATAATTTATTATATGAGCAAGAATATCCGGTAGCAGTAAGACCATCAATTTTATCAGTAAATATACCCGAAAGATCAGTCAAAAATAGTGTTTATGCTGAGTTAAACGATTCACAGGAAACGAGATCAATTGCAGTTGGAGCACCTTCAAAGAATCCAATGACACTAACTCCTTCGATTTCTATCAGTCCCAAAATGTCCAATCAAAAGAAAAATCGATACCGATCCACTGATAATTTTATTTCACCATCAAAACAAATGGACCGTCGGAATGTTAAAATGGTCCACATGGAAACTCAAACCGACATAATAGATGACCCAGAATTCACTCTGAATGTTTCAATGTTAAATAATGAAGCTCCAGAAGATGTGCCTTTGAAACTTTTAAATTCACCAATATCAAATAAATACAATGAAAGCACAGTCATAGGAAAATCTGATTCACATAGTGAAAATTGTCTCAATGGCAATGTTATCATAACACAAAACCATAAACTGAAGAACTCTTTTTCTGATGAGCAATTTATTTATGATTACATGAATAGTAATGAGCAATTAAATATTCGTGAAAGCAGCGATGAAGATAATGTGGACAATTTGAATTGTCGGGTTAGTCAATTTTTTACGCAGAATCGATTACTACAGCCGACAGATAATGGAAATGGATCTATGATTGACAACCGTTTGTTATTTAATATTATGGCATCGCGTAGAAGCTGCATTAGCATTAATGACAAGGATGAAGTGACAATTTTAAGTCGAAGTAATGCTGAAATTATGAATTATAAAATTAGTGACCATAATTGCAACAATGATGATGGTGATGATAGTTGGACTGATGAAGAAGGTGAAGAATCTGATCGTATATATTCACTACGGAGAAAAAGGTAAATAGTTGAAAACTGTTTAAAACTAGATCAATTCAACTAATGAACATTTGTTTTTTAGTTTTGCACGAATGCCAATCGGTCGTACACGTAAAAGTAAATTACAAATATCAAATGTATCGTCAAACTTCTCTTCATCGCCCCATACCACGGGTACAATTCAAGGTATAATCACTTGAAATTACTATTATTACCATTAGTCAATAATTACTATCAATTCTTTCCATAATTTTTCCATTATTTGCATTATATGCATTTCAAATAATCACAAAATCTATAAAAATAAGAACAATTTGCAATTATTAAAACAAAAGTTGCGACAGCAAAGAAATTGCCTAAAAATTGAGATTTGATTGTTGATAGTAGTAGTGATGGAGAGCAGAACTATATAAAATCGAATGCCATAGTCTGAGTGTGTGTATTCATCGGCATCGTAACACAAAACAGAACGCCAGGGCTTCATTTCACTTCTCGTTAGTAACACAAACTGTGCGAACATTCTGAACAGATTCACAACAAAATTAAAGAATATTTTTGTTTTTCACAAGTCATTGTGCATTTTACATGTTGTGTCATTTAATTGAAAATTCTTTTCGAAAAAGAAAAAGTCGCGCCATTGAGCATTTAGACGCAAAGT